AATATGGGAACCAGTAATAAGGAGTGCCAGAGAAAAGCGATAATAACTCTGAACTCTGGTAAAAACATGCAATGATAACAGCAAAAATTGCAATATGAGCACTGGTAAAAAATGGTTGCTGATGACATTAGATTTATTCATACACAGATGTCCTCAAGGACACATGGCACAGTGGATAAAGGCGTTGGTTAGATTCAGTGACAGGACACAAAGAGTGTGAGTTCAATACCCGCTTAAAGCAGTGGAGAACTTTCAGAGGGAAATTAACAGAAGATAACCGATATCTGACATCCATTAAACATGTCACGTGGAAGTAGAGCAAAATAAAGAGTTAAGTTCGACATTCCAATCACCTGAAGAAGGCCGGAGTGTACAACGGCCAGAACGTTGTAATAAATATGGGGAAAAAGATGGGGCCAATAGTCTTGAGAATAGTAATCATATAAAGCACATTATATAAATAAAAACGGTTGGCTTGTTTTGTTTTACGGCATATCAACCTCAATGGGTTATTTAATGCCGACAAGATTTTTATTGCTGGTAATATTTTTTTCATGCATTTCTGGTAAAAAAATTTCCTTCAAAAAGGTATTGCTGGTATTAAAACCTGCTTTACACGTTTTGACTCTAGTTTAACGGCTAACTATTTGTCCATACCTAGGACCCTAACAGGTGCTACCACTCCGGATCACGGTAGACCTGGGAACACCAGCAATTAAGAGGTGGTTCCACGTTCCTCAAAATCACCCCATCAGAGGCCTTGCTATCGGATGTAGTTTATCGTCTGACCCAGGACGCAGATGTAGTTTATCGTCATTCCCAGGACGGAAAAACAGCTGTCCAACATATTTTTTAATGTATGGAAACTTATGGCCTACCCTGTATATAAGAATTAATGTGAAAATATTTTCACTTAACTCATGTTTACTTTGAAGTTTCGTTCTCAGATGTAAGAACAGAGTTAGACTAAGTTAGAGCAGTCTAACTCTGTTCTGATTAGTGCTTACATCTAAGCTCAAAACTTCGAAGTAAACAAGAATTAAGTGAAAAAACTTTTCATATTGATCCTTCTATTCTTGCTCTATCTCCATCTTTGATATTGAGCACTCTCCCACAAAGCTTGCTTGCCTTAAATGCTTTTCTATCAGCAAACTACTGAAGAACCAGCAATTTTGGCTTCAAAAATAGTCTTTAAATTAATAATATATATATATAGTTATATATTTTGGCAGCAATCCTTCTTTTATGCATGTTTCTTTAAAAACGACAGATGCGGTACTACGGTTAAGCTTTTTATTTAATTTTTCCTGTGTTCGAACAAGAGCTTTCTTTTCTGGACAAAGAGTGTATAAAAACTGTCCAAATGTTTTATATTTCCGAGCGCTTTCGGCTACACCTTTCGCCATTATCAAGGATGATCCAATTTTTCAGCTTAATTGGGTGTGTGCATTATGTGTTTTAGCGTGATGTAGAAATGTTTTTAATTTCCGAATACGGTTAGCACATTGTGGCCTTGTTCGTAGTTAATATTGTTAAGAGTTGGCTTTTTCTTTTTTATTATTAAAACTTCCATTATTTTTTATCTTTTTTTTTTTATAGGTGGATGAAATTATTATATTTGTGTTTTCTACTAGCATGTTTCTAAATGAGTCTGATAAGTTTGTGTACGTGTTTAAAAGGGTTCTAATGGAGCTATGATCAGATAGGTGTAACGTAAGACGTCTGGATAAGCATGTAGTTGTGTAAGCGATGTAATTATTCATGTCCAGTTTGATCAGGAACACAGTTCCTTAAGGGGCATTTGAACTGGTGTGTTGTTATTTTTGAGGATAAGGTTAGCTGTCTTAAATTTTTTATAATAGATAAATAATTTGATTTTTTTATTCGGGTCAATTCTTTATAATATTTCTAAGTGAAGATTCGTTTTGTTTGTAGTTAATGTGCATTTGGTTTTTGTAATAAATGTTTATCTAATTTATGACTGGGCGTTCACTATGGTTATTATTTACTTTGGAGAGAAATAGTCTAATTTGGTGGTCTATAAGGTCTATATATATAAACAAACAAAATGTCGTTAGCTACTAGAAGAATTTAGAAAGGTATACAAAATATACAATCGAAACAAAAAAATTAAAATAATCCGCAATAATAAATTACATAAAAACAGATGCATAATACTACCGGCCAACTCCGTTACGTCCAATATTCAGAACAATCTATTCCATCTAAATAATCTTAAAATAATCACAAACACTTCCAAAACCATTATGGATATACTCAGATCCTCAAACACCCATAGCAATAATATTTCAGAAGCAGGCATATATAAAATATGTTGCCAGAACTGTTCCTCACAATATATTGGAGAAACAAGTAGAAATAATAATAAAAAAAAACGAATCTATGAGCACAAAAGAGATCTCATAAATAACAATTTAACACATGCACTAGTCATATATAGAAATAAATTCTACCAGAATTTTAATTTTAAAAATGCTGCAGTCATAAAAAAGAAAATAATTCACTTAGAAGGAAAATCCTCGAGAGTGCCGCCATTGAATATTATCCAAATATTAATCTACGTCCAGGTTTTTTTCCCAATATCACCTTTCCTAACAGAATCACTACTCTTCCAAGTCAATGTACACAACAAATATATGAAGAAATCAAAAGAAAACGGTTGAAATCGACAACTTAACAATACAAACAATATTCCTATACGTGAAAATATTCTCTTCAAACATAAAGTAATTGACGTAATTTTTCAGTTGACCATATGAATATACAATAATAGCCTTTCCCTCTCTCTCTCTCTCTATATATATATATATATATATATATATATATATATTGCATGAATCATTCATACAAAAAACTTTTTTCGGATTACATCTATATTTTCGTTGTCCTCTTATTACCGAGAAGTAAAAAACAAGAACAAATCTATTTCCATACCTCAGGATGTCTGTAGGCACAGACGAAAGTTTGTAAAAAACTTAAAAAATCCTTATGCAACTGGAATTTATAAACAGGGATCATATCATTCATATACAGGTTCGGGGTTAATGTACTTTATTAAAATGTATTCTCGCCATTTAAATCATTAACTTCTATATCTGTTTTTTTGTATGAATGATTCATGTAATGTAAATTGAACTGCACCACATACTTGATATATATGTGTGTGTGTGTGTGTGTGTGTGTGTGTGTGTCTGTGTATGTGTGTGTTTGTGTGTATGTGTGTGTGTGTGTGTGTGAGAGAGAGAGAGAGAGAGAGCATTGAGTTGGCTAGCCGGATAACTGACTTGAACTTTTTTTCAGTTTATTCAATAATATAGTTCTCTCTCTCTCTCTCTCTCTATATATATATATATATATATATATATATATATATATATATATATATATATATATATATATATATAAAACAAAGACTAATCGATCAGTGTATTTCTGTGTGATAACCCTTATGACAAGCAGTCTTTGTCATAAAAGTGCTCAATGTCAAGAGGTAAAGCATTAATAGTAAGAAATAAATTTAATAGTAAATGTCCAACTTCCGTACTCGTAATTTCAAGGATAACGCATGTAACAGTCAGGAGTTTGATAGTAAAATTTTATTTGTATATATCTACACCCTTGTGCAACTTAATTGAAACAAAACGGATAATTCCGTTATTGTTTACTTTTTTCGTATTATTCCAATGAAATCGTTCCTTGCAGATTGACCACAGATTCTCGATTGGATTTAACTCAGGAGAGTTTCCAAGCCAGTCGATAGTATTTTGACTTGCTTACTGGTAAAGATTGTCAGTGTCTTCGTGCATAATTACAATTTTCGTACGCTTCCTTGGACTAACGTCCATCGCAGACAATGGCCGTAGGACAACTAATCGACAATCGAGACAATAGTGTCTGGGTGTGATGAAAATCTGATGCAATCACGGATGACGCAAAATTTTTCAAGGCCAAACAACTTTCCTCATACACCCCGAAACTAGATTCATAATTCTGCACACCACTGCAAATGACCTAATCTGAGGAAAAAATAGAAATCGATTACACCCTGTCACTCCAATGGGTCTAAAACTGACCGTATGGTGAAAGACTGGAAACTAAAGCGGTTGTTTCAATTAATTTGCCCAATGATGTATATAATTTCTTCTTGTATAAATCAACTACAAAATAATGTTTACCACTTCCTGTAGATTTTAGGTGCTCAATACAATATTCTCAAATATTACCCTCAAATATTACCCTCAAATATTACCCTCAAATATTACCCTCAAATATTAACCTAACGCGATTTTAACCCTAGGCTTGACATTACAAAGTAAAAATTTACGCGCGGTTGTTGAAAAATTGACAGCTTGATCCACTTCACAAAATCTGACCAAATGACTTCGCATAATAAATTTTGTGGAAAAGGCTTCTTGGTCGGGCCGAGAATTTTTCCTTACCTCGTCATATATAAGTAATGGCAAAATAATAATTATATATGTCTATGTGTGCGTGTGAGTTTGTATGTATTAAAGCGATAATTTAGCAGTAAGTCAAGAAGGGAAATCCTCTTGATCATCCATTGTTGTCGATTTTTCCACATAAGTATAGGGAATTGCATTAAAATGTCAGGCTAATACAACAGTATACGCATTGCTCCGTTGTCATGGTTTTTGATGACGCACGAACCGTTCCACCAATCACAGCTTAGCAAATTCAAATTTCTCTCCAACATTATTTCTTTCCGTGTCCAAATCTTTCCTAATTATTTTATCTGTTAACTTTATTCGCCTTTTTCTTTTTTTGGCTTACTGTTCAATTTATCTTATTTATCTCTATATCACTAATTCAACGCAAAGCTTCAGTTTACATGATTATTATTATTACTAAAAGTAGCAGTAGTAGTATTAGTTCTCTCTACCTTTGGTCCGGCTTTGGTTATTCTATTTATGGATGGTAATACACCTTTCAAACAACCTTTCTTTCTATTCTGACTTTTGATGTCTCTTTTTCTTTACATTGTTTTATTTTCTTTTTCCTTCTCTTTTTCTTCCTTTGTTTTCTTTTCCTTTTTTATTTTTCCTTTTCTTTTTCCTCCTTTGTTTTCTTTTTCCTTTTCTTTTCTCATTTTCTTTCGCCTTCTTTGTTTTCTTTTTCGTTTTCCTTCCTTTGTTTTCTTTTCGTTTTCCTTTTTCTTTCCCCCATTTCTTTTTACTTCTTTGTTTTATTTTGTCTTTGCATCGTTTTTTTCTCTTTCTCTTTCACCATTTTCCTTGTTTTTATTTTGCCTTTTCTTTTTATTCCCTCCTCATTTGCTTTCTCTGTTTCTCTTTATACAGTTCTTTCCTTTGTCGTCTCTTCGTTTATTTTTACTTCGTTTTATTTATGCATTTTATTCATCCATAATTCTATTTAAAAAAATCCTTTTTCTCTTTCACTGTTTCTGTCTCTCTCCTCATTTTTAATATGTCTATTTAAAGCCATTATTTTTTCCCCACTTTTAACTTCTTCACCTTCCTTTTTCCTTTCTTCCTAATTCTTTCTTTATGTCTACTTTTTCCATTTCTCTTCATTCTTTTTCCACCGTTTTTTTCTCTTTCCAGCAAGCAATGAATTCCCTGGGGACTACTCAGTCCTTGTTCCGAATCAATATCATTTCTGCCTCTTAGGTGTGGGAGGGGGGTAAGCAATGCAACTAGCAAGCAGTTGGGTGAGATGCTAATCGACAATGTACAGTAGCAGCAGGCCATAGTCCCCACCTTGACACATCGAAACAGACTCCATTTTATTCCGATCATCGCCTACCGTTAACACAAAACGCTGTTCCCTTCTATTTTTACTTTCACTTTCACTTTCGTATTTTAAGTTTCCTTTTTCTCCGGGATTTCTTTGAAAGCAAGCATTTTATTTCCACTTCCTTTTCATCCCTAAATCCACACGCAATTATTTTACCTGCGTCTATAATTGCTGTGCCTTGCTCTTTGTTTCATAATAGTATTTATTTTAATTTTTACATCAAATTTGATAAAGCATCCACTTATGTCAACCACACACACACACACACAAAAGAACGAAACAAAGAAATTGAAAGAGACACGCACTTATTTACTGTAATCTATGCAAGGTGGTTGCTGAAAAGTTCATGGCCAAATTCTCAAATTCAGCCCAAATGTCCAAACGTCAATTTTTGTACAATAATTAAAGGCATTGTTTGTTTTTTTTTATCAGCTGCGAAGGCTTAAGGGAATGTTTCTGGGCAGGTTTTTGGAATCAAACTTCAGCGATTGGCTTAAATGTGTTAAGTCTATACCATAGCGTGTCTGATCTTCTTCTTCTATATGCCGTGTCCATTCCGGATGTTGGCGATCATGGCTCTTCACAATTTCCTGCCCTTTGTAGCTCTTAATAGATCTTCTTTTTGTTATCGTCCCTAAACAATACATCCATTACTCAATCTCACTAAGTTCTGCATTATTTTTTTCCGTCCCTCGCTTTCAATCTTTCCTGTCAGTATCAAATTTACCAAGCCCTCTTTCCGCATTATGGACCCTAGAAATTTCAGATTTTAAGTATAAGTGTCCTTTTTGTTTCTATTTTCTCTAAAACTTCATCTTTACTCAGATGTTCAGTTGATTGGTTTGTTTTGTTTTACGGTATATCAACCTCAATGGATTATTTAATACCGACAAGATTTTTATTGCTGGTAATTTTTTTTTGTTTTCAAACATCTATTTCTGGTAATATTTTTCTTCAAAAATGTATTGCTGGTAATATCTTTTTTTTTTTTTTTTTCCAAATGAGGGCCTTGTTCGTCGTCTGTGGCCTCCCAGGTCACCAAAATATGAAATCCAGTTTTTATCTATCGGGTTGTATAAACGAAAGAGTGTTTATTCCACCCATGCCTTTTATTCTTGAAGATTTGAGACATCGAATTGTTGAAACTGTGAAGTCCATATCCACAGATTAAATGATTCACATGTGGCAAGAATTGGAATAACGTTTCGATGTTTGTCATGGTGCTCATGTTGAGTGCATACGAGTTGAACAACCTGCAAATAATAAACTTTGAACTTTTTCCTATCCAGTAATGTGTTGAATGTGTTTCTGCCTCTTAGCGTTTGTTTTTATTAAATTTTCGAAATCTGCACTTTCTTTTCTTAAATGCCCTTGGAAACGTCATGGACCCCCCCCTTCAGTCGCTATACGGGACAAATAACTAGAAACTTTGTGTGACAATCTAAGAGAAGGAAAACTCTGAATTTCAAAACCTGGAGAGAGACACTGAGAAAGTATTCCAATATTTTCCCCAAATAACGCATGCCAATTCGTAGATAATAAAGAAAAAAATGTATGGGGTGAATAATGACCGCCTATGTCCTGAAGAGAGATGGTATTCATTTTTTTTAGCCCATTCATTTGGTACTACATATCCAGCGACCGTAGTAGCAGGATCGTCAGCGGGACTGCCAGATTAGACTATAAGTAAATAATTTCCCATCTCCGTAACCTAGCTTCCTCGTTCCTTTTCTATGAATACTTTCATGGTAATTGTTCAGATGAGCTTTTCTCTTGGGTACCTTAGCTTTATGAATTTAAGCACTCTACTGGATTGGCGGCTAGGTCTCATGATTTTCCGGCTGATTTTTTTTTTCTTTTATTAAGCATATCACCTCAAGCAAGGCGGGAGTGCCACTAGCACGCAAGGGGTTACAAAGAATGAGAGTAAGAGTAAAGAGGAGTGTTTGAGGAAAGGATATAGAGAAGGACGGGGATCACGATCAAGGCATCAGAAGATGTTGATCGATTTTACATTTGAATATTTGAAGATTATCGCTATCAGAGAAGTAAGTAAGAGGAAGGGTATTCCACTGTCGGGAAGAGCGAGAGAAAAAGCTGTTAGAGTAGAAGAGACGGCTACATTTAACCGTTGCGACAGTAAAAAGGTGGGATCGAGATGCCAACCTAGTAGCACGCTTAAATTCATGCAGTTGGGGTAGCAGTGAAAGTAGTTCGTCAGAACAGTTGCTATGAAAATACTTGTAGAAAAGACAGAGGGAAGCCATATTACGCCAGTGAGAAAGTGACTGTAGACAAGATGCCAGATCAGGACCGATCACATTGCATATCTGTCACTTGATTTTGTCGAGGACCTCGAGATGAACAGCGGGGGCACCAGACCATATATGGCAGCAGTATTCAATGCAAGGATGAATTGTTGATTTGTAGATTTGAAGGATTGACTCTTCTTCTCCCTCCAGCTATGGGTAAAATAGCAGGACAGACTGGGTTCTATAGCCTTGGTTGGCAACTGGTCTAGGAGAAGGACAACTCTGAATTCAAAACCTGCGGAGGGTCGTTTGGGACCTTGTGGCACGTTGTGCACCAGGTCTCTGTAATCGGCCCTTCAAAAAGTGTGGATGGTCCTGCACGAAACCTTCACCACTATAATCAAATCTCATGTGCTATACATTCGAGTTTGGGGGACCGCTTGTGAATTCCAAATTCCCATGAAACTCCAATATTGGAGCCGGCTCAACCCACCCCGGGTGAATGCCGTTAATAGGTACAGGTATCTCGGACGAGAAAAATAGACAATGCAAAGAGCTCGATCTCGCGGTTGCGGGAGCTAGGTAAATTTTAACCTTTGGCCTGAGCCTACCTGCACGGGTTCCCCACAATAAACTCATCTTTGTGCTATATCTCATCTCAGTAGGGAGGCTGGGTAAATACTAGCCCTAATATTCAGTCCTGTCATTCTTCTTCTGTCTGTCCTGTCTCTTCAGGACGTTAACGATCACTGACCGCCACAGCTTCCTGTCTTTTGTAGTTAGTTATATTTGATTATTGTCATCTCTCCAATTTCCCGTTCTGCCATCCACTCTGTTAAGCTCGTCAGATAGTAGGCCGCTATCTAACACTGTCACACTGGCCTTCAATCTGTCTTGTGAGTATCAAATTCTCCAAACCTTCCTTCCTCATTATGTGAACCGAAAATGTTTAGTTGTTTCTGATTCTGAATATAAATTGTTCTTTTCGTTTTAATTTTCTTCCAGATGTCCTCATTGCCTATATGCTCCGCCTATGGTATTCTCAGCATCCTACTGTAGAAAAACATCTCAATTTCTTCAAGTCTCCTCTTCATCTAAGAGGAAATTGTACAGTATCCACTGCCACAAAGAAGGATCGATATTAAATAGTAGTTCAGTACTCTTTTCTTTTTTTCTCACGAGATTTTTATGTTTATTTGTTTAAGTTTTGGAAGGCATGTTTCCAGTACATGTTCGGCTTTCGATGTTACATTTTCCGACAGGGTCATCACTTGTCTATATTTCTGAGATGAGGTATTATGTACACTATTTACAGTTTGTCGCCATATTTATCACAACGTTTCGGTCGTTATACGCTCCGGCCTTCTTCAGATGGTTGGAATGTCGAACCAAACGCATTATTTTGTTCACTGGGGTAGGCTGTTCTAATTGCAAGCATAGAAATGAATACAATATGGGAACAAGTAATAAGGAGTGCCAGAGAAAAGCGATAATAACAACAAAAATTTCAATATGAACTCTGGTAAAAACATATAATAACAGCAAAAATTGCAATATGAGCACTGGTAAAAAATGATTGCTGATGACATTATGGTTTATAATACCCAGAAATTCTTACGCGAATGTCCTCAAGGACACATGGCGCAGTGGATAAAGGCGTTAGTTAGATCCAGTGACAGGATCCAAAGAGTGTGAGTTCAAAAGTGTGGAGAGGGGAATTAACATGAGATAACTGATATCCATTAAACATGGCAACTAGAACAGTCTACCCCAGTGAGCGAAATAAAAGGTTCAGTTCGACATTCTGAAGAAGGCCGGAGCGTACAAGAGCCGAAACGTTGCGATAAATATGGCGACAAAGATGAGGACAATAGTCCGAATAATGTAAATAGGCTCATTACTATTCTTACTGTTGACTTACTTTAGGTAACTTATACCATGAAAGAAATGTTACAGAATTGTCAATTAATATTTTTTATTCGATATATATATATATATATATATATATATATAAGTTAAGAATGCAAAAATAATTTTTGGTGAGTTTATATAATCACAGATTTTTTAACTTGTTTTTGATTTAATTTCCTTTTTTTTTCTTTTTCACCTTAGGTGGAGGCATGAACGTGACGATACACTGCAAGCAGAAAAATTCTGAATCCTTCGAAATGATATAAAAACACAAGAAAAGAAAAATCAGGAAAATACAATTTTTATTTATCAAGAACTTCTTCCGAGATGGAAAAAAGACGCAAAAAAGATCTTTAAGACTTTCTCTCCAGATATAAAGATGATGGAAGAAAAACCTATTTTCAAAAAAGTCTTCCGCGATACAATAAATTGCTTAATCTATTTCTTGACAATTGTTGGTGAATTTTGTCCATGGTTGAGTAGGTAGATAACTTTTTAAATAGTTC